GAGGAAAACCCAAGAACCTACCAGCCTAAGAAGTCTGGGAAAACGTCCCTCATTCCCCAACCCCTGAGAACAGTTTGAAGTTCTGAGGTCCTAGATATGAGAATCTATAAGCAAACTATTGTACTAATTTAAAAGACTGCCCTCCTTACCTGAGTCCCACTAACTGTGTACACACTAATTCCTGCACCCTTCCCTCTCATCATTTAAAAGAGCAATAAATAAACACCTCACATTTAACTGACTCAACACATTCGTTAGTCCCATTATTCCACCTACCTCCCACCCCCTTATCTCTTCAGGAGCCAGTTTGGTAATGTGACAAGGCAAGAAATTAACTTATTAAACAAATATTTATTGAACTTGTACTATGTGCCTGAACTTGTACTAAGTCCCCTTACTAGGATATTAGGGATACTCCAATATCTGATACTTCACCCTCTATGTATGTGGGGGTGGGTGGGGGTGGTGGTGATGGTGCAGTGGAGAACTGGCATGGCTGGCTGGGATGCTGAGACCATATTTGAATGTTACCATTGCTGCCCTTCTGTTGAGTTTCTTCAAAGGCCTTGGAACAACCAGCGCAGACTCCCTGGGACCCTCACAGAAACTCCTCTGACAGGCCCAAGTTCCTTGTATTCCTTGGGGTGTGGGAGCTGCTAGTCTTAGTAGCTCAATTTACCCCAAGGACCAGTAGGCGGCTCCTCCTCTATCACGTGGCTGTGATCTTCTGTTTACATCAGTATTCCCAGTAGACTGCGATCCCAGAGGGCAAGGCTGTAGTCTAGTCCCTGCACCTAGCAGGCGCCTGGCATTCAGTGGGTGCTCAATAGGGGCCTGGAGAATGAAACCATGCGCCTCTTTCCTGAAAGCATTCCCTGAGGGCCCACTTGTGGAATGACCGCGGCAAAGCTCGTGGCTCCTTCCCTCCTCCCCATCCGGTCATCTTATCCGTGACTTTTCCTGCATCTGTCTGCTAGCAAGGCAGAGGGGCAGTTTTCTGGCTGGAGGACTACAAGCTCCTAGGAGGGGCTACTCCCGATCACGCCCTAAGGCTGCAACTGGAAGACCGTTCCCCCTGGGCTCCAGTGACAGCCGCCCGGAGCGGGTGACCGCAGGGCTTTCCGGGTCTGGCGGAGAGAAGCGCCGCCGCTGGGAAGGGAGCTAGTCTTGTTCCTGACTTGGCGGCTCTACCCTGAGAAGCGAGGTCCGCAGGCCTCAGCGTTGTAGCACCCACCTCTGCCAGGGCCGCTTCGACCGCCCGGCTCCGTAGCCTCGGACTTAACCAGCGCCGCCATTACCGGCCTACCCACGTGGAGACCAAAAAGGCAGCACCATAAGAACGCGGAGAGCGCAGACATTGCGGTCGATCTCCGATCGGCCAGCGAGGGGCGGGGACTTGCCGGGCGGGGACCGTGAAAGAGAAGATAGGGGCGAGGCTATCGTGGGTTCCTCCTCAAGTCTCGAGGGTCGAGGCTCTTGGGAGCCCCTAGAGGTCCCTGATCACCGCGGCTGTGCTCTCGGTGACCCAGTCCTCTTCTCCCGTCCTGGGGGGCCTTACCTGGCACTCTTAGACCAATGCTCCCATTTGCTTACTCCTTGCCCGAGTTGTGCGGGCCGAATGTTGTGAACGGGGACAACACCATGTCTTTCTTCTGCTCCCCTCCCTGTCTCCGCTCCTGGTAAGCAGTGGCAGCCATGAGTGGGGCCACATTCCCTACCTCAGGGGATCCCACTGCGCCAAGAGGACAGAACTCAGCTCTCACCAGCCCAGCTCCAAGTTGTGTCTTGGAGCTGTTTTCCGGAGTGCTTGGGTGCCATTGACATCTTTAGAACAGACTGTGTAAAAGGTTCACATGTGAAAAACTGCGACCATAGGAAGGCCCCAAGCCTGAGGGATGCTTTCCTAGGAGAGTGGTGCATACCAAGAACTCAGATTACCTAAACTTCCTGGATTCTGGCCAGCATTTGCCCTGCTTAGCTGCCCCTTTGGCCTAGACAGCTTTTCTCCTGCTCAGTGGCCTGAGCTCCTGGCATCCTAAACAGAAGGCAGAGCAGCCAATGAGACAGCCTGGACTTTTGAAGAGCAGTGTTCCAGCAGGATAGGCCTTCAGCAAGGTCTGCCCCACAGAGCAATGTTCCCCCCAACCCGGGGCCGTTTGCCCACCCAGCCCTCTGGCACCATCTTGCTCTCTGTGGTGGTGATGTGAGCACAGCTGGCCCTTTAAGTCAGCTCTGTGACCTCGGGCTCCCCTGGAGGCCCTCCCTGCTTGGAAACTCCTAATTAAGGTGTAGGGAGAAGTGAAAAACAAGCAGCCAGGGACAGACCGTGCCTGGGAGGCTGCCCAGAGAGGAGGGATGGCTAGGCAGGCTGGAAGCGGGCAGCCAAAGAGAGAACCAGAAAGGGGCAGTGCTCTGCCCCTCGATCCATGGACCAATCTTCTTAGGATGATCACAACTCTGGACAGGACTGTGACCAATGTTAGTCTCAGAAACACACCTCTCTCCTTGATAAGAGTCCAGCCTAGACTTTCCCATCCCTTCCAGGTTCTCTGCACCCTGAGGGTGCAGGATCTCAATTCAGGAATCCCCTGAGTCCAGGCCCTCTCCCTTCAGGACACAAAGACCCAGCCTGTAAGCAGCTTTAGCTCTGGCTGCAGCTGTGAGTTTCAAGAGGGAAAGATTGGCTCCAGAACAGTGGCTTCACCATAGCAGGCACCCCTTAGGGTCTTTCCCTAGGCAGAGGTGGGGTCCATTGGTGATGGAAGGCCCCCATCCTCTTGTAACATTGCCTCGCAGTCTCTGTGCTGAATGAGCCGCCCTGACCCCCATTAGGAAACCAGATATTGTCCAGGAGAACTAGGCAGCAAGGACAAAATGTGGACATGTCTCCCAAGACCCTGAAGGGTAGGACATTGGGAGCTGCCATTCAACTTGGGCTGAGAACACCTCCATCTGTTTGTGGGGTTCTCCCTCCCTGAGTTAGTCAGCAGTCTGAGTAATTACTGCCTGACAAGAAGGCGGGCACAGTGCACCCCCATATTATACCACAACACCCGCCTACAGTCGCCCCCACCCCCTCCCTGGCTGGACTCCAAAGCAGCATCCAGCCCTCCTGAGGCCTGAAATAACTGTGCTTTTCACACTCACACCCAACCCCTGCCAACTTTGCCTAGGATGCTGGAGTTTGTGGGGCAGCAGGTCATGGAGAGGCAGTTTGGGGAGGTGGAAGGAGGATTAGCATACCCTGATTCAGGCCCACAATTTGGCAATGTTCTGCTGTGTGACATTGAGCAAGTTGTTCAATCTCCCTAGGCCTCAGTTTACTTGTGGAGGGGCCTCTACAGCTCTCCATGCCATCGAATTCAGCTTTAGTGTCTGCCTGGCAGGGTATAGGGTCAGTTGCAGCTGGGTAAGGCTAAGAGAAAAAAATGCCTCGCTTTCCATTCCTACCCACCCCTCCCATGGACCAATCTACTTTATCTTCAGAACAATGTTACTTTCTTGCCTCCAAGCATTTGCACATTCCCTCCTGCCTAGAATGGCCCTTCCCCTTCTCAGGTGATGAACTCAGCTCTCAACACCTAACCTAAATGGCACTTCTTCATCAGGAAGGTGAAGCCTTCCCTGATGGTCTTCACCTTCTTACAGAGCTAGCCCCTCCCACATATTGTATCTCTTTCTGTCACATTCTAAGATGGCTTGTGTCTTTCTTCCCCAACTATGCCTTAAATTTCTGGAATTCCAAGCCTGTAGCTAGCTTAAACCGGAGCTTCAGGGTCACTGAATGCATGTGTGAGTGAATGAATGATACTGGTCTTTTCTGACCTCCTATCATGCTAAGTTTTTCTCCAAGGAATCATACAGCTTATTTTCTCACTTCGATTAGATCTGTGCTTAGATGTTACCTGCTCAGAGCAGCTTTCTCTGGTCCCCTCATATCAGCTCCAGAACAATACCCTGCTTGCTTTTCTATCAAGCACCATCTCATCTAGACTTTCCACATCTGGTCCCTATTAGCTATAAACTCCACAAAGGCAGGGACTTTGTCTTCTTTGTTGGCTGAATCCCCAGTAACAGTAGTGCCACACACATGATAGACCCTCATGATTGACCTGCACATATTTAGCCCACTTTTTCCTCTCCCAGGGCCCCTCTTAGCCCAGGCCAGTAGGGGGTGCTGGCCTCCACCCAGAATACCGTCGGGCCTGAACCTCTACTCAGCCTAATGGGCCCCCTTCAGGGCCTGCTTTCTAGGCGGTGCATCATCCATTTTCCCCCAAACCCCGGGCGGGGTCTGTAGACTGAGGGACATCAAAGACCCCTCTTAGGTGGAGACAGCCCGCCTGAGCCTCGCAATGGCCCTTCTCTCGCTCTAGGATTTGCGACTTTGTCCTCCCTGAATGCTTGCGGCAAGACTAGACCAGCCCGGGGTACGCTACCCTGAAAAGAATAGTGCCCTGGGCTACCGGATGGGAGGCGGCTTGGTCCTGGGCAGGGAGGAGCCGTCGAGCCTCCGAGGAAGCCTAGCTGACTAGAGAGGAGACCGGGAGGAGTGCGGACTTGTGAGCGCGGGCTTTGGGCGGCGGTCCTCCGTCCCAGCCGGGCGGCTGAGCGCACGCTTCCAGCAGCCTCTCTCCGTGACCTCCAGCCGCGAAGGGCGAGCGGGCGGGGGTTGGGCTGCGGGTGCGAGCCTCGGGAAGCCCAGGGGGTCCGGGAGGGGCTTTCGCGTGGCCCGTTGACCAGTCTGCGGGCTGGGGCAGATACCTGGACGGACACGGGCGGAGGATCGTCCCCGGGGGCGGGCGCAGCGAAAACACCTTGGGAGGCGGCGACGCGCGGCTGAGGGCTGCTGCCCTGGGAATAGGACGGCGCTCGGCTCCGCGAGCTGAGAGCACTTTCATAAATTTTGTATGGGAGGCGCTCCGTGAGCGGGGGCGGGGAGCGGAGCGAGAAGGAGGGAGCTAGCTAGGGAGGGAGGGACGGAGGGAGGAGGCGAGCTGGGGGAAGCCGGGGGGGCGGAAGGGAGGCGCCCCGCTCCGCCGATCTCTCGGTCTTGCAAACGCGCGCCGGGCGCTTTCCCCGGAGCTCCGCGGTGCGTGCGAGTGCCCTTTTGCAGCAGCCGCGGCGGCGGCGGCCCGAGGGGGCGGAGAGGAGGGGGTTGCGGCCGGGCTACTGGGGGGCGGCGTCCCCACTCAAAACCGCCTGCAAAGAGCTCCGGGCTGCAGAAGCAGGCCGCTGGCTCCGCGGAGCAAGCTGATAGTCCCAGAGCTAAGCGGGCGCGCAGGGCTGCCGGGCAGTGCCACGGTTGCTGGTGGGCGCCGTTGCCCTCGGCGAGGGACCCGGGCTCACCATGCCCCTGCGGGACGGGGCCGCCGGGCGCAAGCGGATCCCCGGCTTGCCCCCGCCTCAACGCGCTCGGATTAGCTGCAGCCGGCGCCCAAGGATTTGAATCCGGACCCCGGGAGGGAACGCGCCTAGGCCGACCTCAGAGTGGTGGCCCCGCGGCCAACATGCTTCGCAAAGGTGAGTTGGAGCCTCAGGGGCAAGTTGGAGTTGGATGCGCACGGGGCAGAGCTGCGAGCCCGGGAACTGCCAAGAGTTGCCCAGCGCCCAGGCTCCGGGCGGGGGGAGAGCCCCTGGCTTGTTGGTAGGCTTGGCGGGGATGTACCCGCCCAGGACTTGCAACTAGAGCTCAGCCCCCGTCTGTGGCCGGTGAGAGACTAGGGGTTTGCTCTGTGGATTAAGCGGCCAGGCCTAGGGATCTGGCTCGACGAGGTCATTTCGAGACCACAGTGAGCTGCCCGTGATGAAAGGGGATCTAGCCTCTTGGGACCTTTGCTTTGCCGTTATAAAGTTTTGCACTTGCAGGCTCCATTCCTTGCTCTGGCACAAGTCGCTAGCTTCTGCCGCTTTGGCGGGGCCGGATCCAACCCGCGCTCCAGTGCAGCCAGACGTCAATCACCGCGCGGACGGGGCGCTCACCGCGCGCCCTTAGCTTCACAGGCAGAGCCTGGATGCCGGCATCGTCCCTGCATCCCTGCTTTGATCCTAAGGGATGGGTTCTGGGCCCCCAGCAGCCGAGGGCAGTTGATAAAGGCCAATTGTCCAGTTCTTTAAACTTTCCTTATGCCCGAAGCGGAGAGATACAAAGGCGCGGGCCGTGTGGGCAGCGTGTGGGGCCGGTGCGAGGTTCAACTTGCTGAGGGCCGGTCCCCCACCCTGACCACCTCACCCCGACGGACCGGCAGCCCGGATCATTGCCAAGACCTGCAAAGTTGGCGCGGGAGCTGGGGAAGTCCCGCCGCGCCCCCACGTGGCTGCGCGCGGGGAGCGGTCCCCAGGGCCCCCGGAGGGCAGGTGACCACGCCGTGAGCCCGAGGACCCCGCCACCCGCTGTCCCGGCCTCTGCTTCTGCCCTTCTCCCCTACCAGGTCTGGGGGTTGGGGTAGTGGGGGGCTGCGGCGCCCCCCCGGGACCGGTTCATTCCTGGCCGGAGCCGGGTGGCGGGCAAGCTGCGGCGCCTGCGGCTGGCTGCCGGGCCCTGCGGGAGCCTGCTGAGGCGAAAGCTCAGGTAGCCGAGGGGCCTGATCCCCGCGCTCCGCACTCCAGCCTTAATCCGCCCCTGTTTCCATGGCAACAGACCGATGTGGCGTAAGCACAGGATTCTGACCTCACAGTAGGATGGGGAAGGAGAAAAACGGCAGGGAGACGTGGCAGAGGAGCGGGAAGGGAAGACCCAAGATGGGCGGAGAGGAGCAGATGTAGGGGTGATAGGATGAGACTCCAGAAGCAGGTCGGACAGGTGGGTGAAGAAACCACGCCTTCGCTTGGGGCTGCATGGTGCTCCCGGGGCAGCTCAGGCAATCGAGGAGACACGATTGCCCCGCCATGTTAATAATTATAAACTTGTATGTGACTTGTGCCCTCCACGTGGGCTGGGGCAGTGCCCAGGGAACCGCCGACTGCCTTTTACTGTGGTGTGGGAAAAGTCTCTGCAGTTGGTTGGAGAAACCACTTAACAGATACACCTTAGTTCTTTTTCCCTGTGGAAAGGGACCAGAAATGCTTTTAGTAACCAGCAGTGCTGGCCAGAGTGCCTCTGCACAGAGGGTGCTTTTTACCCAGCTGTGCAGAGGCCGGGGTTGAGGAGCTTGGGTCTGGAGCATGCAAACTTGCCCCAGTGGGGAAGGCTTCCCAGGCAGTTTTAAAGGACCACCACGTCTGGGCTGCAGGTCTGTGATGGAGATAATAGAGGAACTGACATCTCATTTCCCTTTTGGTCTTTTGGCAGTTTACAGTTAAAAATGAGCCACGAGGCAGCCCACATACTTTATTTATATGGTTTAGGTGCCCAGGGAGGCTTGGGCAGCCTCCAGGAGCCTTTCTCTCCCTTTCTTGCTAGCCAGAGGCCCAGCTTGGGATGCGCCCAGTGCATTCTGGGGGCTGCTCCCAGGGGAGAGGCTCACTTACCCTGCTCAAGAGGTGGCCACTGGAGGCTTGGCAGTCACATGTGTTTGCCACTCGGGCTATTTTTCCCATCCTGCATGGCTTGGTGGCAGGAGAGGTTCTACCAATAAAGAGGTCCCCCCACCTGGGTTGGCCAGAGGAAAACAGCAGAGAAGTCTTTTGCTGGGCTGGTCTCAGCTCTAGTGGCTTGGAGCCTGCTGCTGGGACATGTGTGGGCAAAGGAATTTTGTTTTGGTCCTTTCCTGAGCAATTTTCTCCCTTGGCCCCTGATCCTGATTCACTAGGACTTGTTTCCTTGGCACACACATGCAACACATTCATATTCTCTGTGTGGATTCTGAGTATGTGCCCAAAGCCAAAGATATGCCTGAGGCTAATGCCAAAGGAGGTGGCCATTGACCTTTCTGCTTCTCAAATTGTTCCCAAAGGCTCCAAGCAAAAAACATCATAGAATTGGGCTCAGGTAGTTGTCGCAATTTCCCTGACTATAAAACACAGAGCCCTGCATGGGGTCCTGGACTTGAGGGAGTTCCATAGCTATGGTTTGGAAAAGGGTTTGAAGGATGTAGAAAGAGTAGCCTCCTAGTTCCTGTAGGAAGCAAGTAAGAGAAAAAAAAAACCTTCCCTTTCTGCAAAGGGTGGGGCTCATGATCTTGACAAAGGAGTGGAGTTTAGGAGGCGCAGTGGCCTGACACCCTTGAGGAAGGAGGCAAGAGCAGACATTGGACCAGGAGGGTCATCGCTCTGATTCTGTTTGTCCTACGATAGCAAGCTGCATGCTGTCCCCTGGCAGGACATTTTAGGAATTGGGGGTGCTGTCTTGCATCTTTTAATGTACAGACTCTACTGGCTACAGCCACACCTCTGTGAACCAGAATAGCCCCAAGTCCTCAGTGGATCTTGCTACTGACGGTGTGGCACCTGAAGGCTTCAGCAGCTGCCCTGTCTGCTTTTCTGTCTCCTGGCCTAACTTGGCAGAGTCAGGGATATAAAAAGCAAGCCTCTGGTCAGAGATGAGAGGCTGGCAGGGCAAGTGAGGCTCTGAGCCACTCAGTACAATCCAGGAAGGAAGGGCAGTCTGCTGGGGGTTTTGCTTTGCCAGAAATGGCTTGCATAAGGTCAGAATCTATGGTTTTCATTATTAGAGCTATAAAAACAGAATGCAAATCAACAGCCTCTGGGCTAATACAGAACCTATCCTTAAAGTTTTTGTCTTGTTAAGCAAGGAAATAGAGTGCCAAATAGGCTTTGTTAAGTGGCAGTCTAATTAATAATTTAAAATCTTGTAGCTGTCTTTCATTAGAATTATCTGTACATCAACCACAAAATCAGTCAAACACACTCATTTATAAGTTAATGCCATCGTTGAATAATTCAGCAAGAAGTAGATTAAGGCCTGCAACACAGTAAGATGGATTTTGTTCTTTAGGTTTCCATAGCCAGATGGGCTGGTCTGGTGGCTGGATTGGGTCTCCTTTGTGGGAAGAAGGGAAAGCAGTGGGGGAAGGGACCATGGGGTTGTCAGGTGCCTGGTTGACTTGAATCCAGAGGTTCCCTAGGTGCTCTGAGAGTCTCCATGTGGCCAGGTGTGAGCAGGCTCCATCTCTCAGAGCTATTGTCAACATGGCCCTTTTCAGCCCCAAGGGAGAGGGGCTAAAGTGTTCCATGGATACCTAAGGCACTCTTCATTCTGCTGCAGAGGCAGTATAGAAGGGAAGTACAAGGGCCCTGCTCAAGAGGGATGAACTATGATGGGTTTTAGCCCAAATCCAAGTGCAGAAGTGGAATTTCCATCTTCCCAGACCATGCTGACCCGCTCAAGGAATGTAACCTGTTTGCATTCACCAAAACAGCTTCTTTAGCTGGGAGCTTCTGGACTGCTTTTTTCTGCAAAGCTCCTGGTCCTTATGCCAGAAAAGAAAAGCCAAGAAGAGGAATTTTAGGGGAATACCTGGACACCCTAACAGAGAAGAGAGGCAGAGTGAGTTGCTAAGTAAGCCCATGGATGTATTGCCTCACAAGCAGCCAGAATAAAAGCAAGGAAAGCAGTGCGGTGTTCTCGTTGTGGGCTCAGACCATGTAGAAAATGTGGTCTGGTTCAGTTCCTTTCATGCCTACATGGGGCCAATTCCTCATGGCAGTTCGCAGGTCCATTTTCTACAGAGAAACTCTTCAGGATCCAAACACCCTATGTGGGCACACGGGCTCCCCTGCTGCAGGTATGGATTCCAAAGTTGCTGGTCTCTGTCTCAGGCCACCAGTCTTAAGCTGTCTGGAAGGTTACACGGCACTGTTTATGGGGAACAGGTAGATAACCAGAGCAGAAAGTGGATAGGAGAGGTTCTTGGTCAAGTTTGAAAAGAGGAAGTCTGATTAGGAAAAGGAAAAGGCAGGCAAAAGAGTAGGTGTTTGCCCCCTGACCTGTGGTAGAGTTGACAGCAGATGGGACTGAGGAGGAAGGCTTGTGGGGTGAGTCCAACTCCAAGCTTTGGAGTCAGGGCCTGAAAAAGGGCAGAGCAGAAGTTCATTTGCTGTAGAGGAGAAGGAGGGGGCAGGCATCTTGAAGGATGTCAAGAACGGATCTGTTTGGTACCATCTGCAGCGAAGTAGTGGTTAAGGTTAAAGCAGAGAGGAGATGACAGGGAGGGAACAGATGGCTGAAGAAACAAAATAGCTGGCGAAACAGGAACAGAGCCTCCAGGGACAGCAGAAGGCAGGACCTCTGTGCAGAGTGCTGGAAGCCAGCCTTTCCTTGGGGTGTGCTGGCCAGGCCACACTGGGTGGAAGGGAGTCAGAGAGAATTGGGACAAGGACCCCAGGGTGAGGGCTTCCTCAAGGCCTGGGAGAAGACTTAGGGAGACCCCAGCCCAAGTCTCGGGGGCCTGGGAGCAGGGACCTCCTTAGGTATGTTTGGATTGGAGAAAGAGGCACAGCTGACTTCATGTCCATTCCTAAAGCAAGGTGGACCACCTTGGATCTCAGAGCATGCCTGGTCAAGCCTGCCAGGAAGAGGTATAGATGCCAGCTGGAAACGGGCAGCAGGGAATGGGCTGTTGTTCCCTACCTGCCTTGGACCCACTTATGCCAATCCTTGTCCATATGCTGACAGTAGCTGCTTATAACTGATGGGCCGAGCTAAGTGTGCTTTGTGCCTTATCTCATGCAATCTCCACAGTCTGAGCTCAGTCTGTTTGCACTCACTCTTGCTACAGATGCAGAAACTGAGGCTCAGACAAAGGAAGTCCCATGCCCTGGGTCACCCACCTGGCACACTGTTGCATCAGAATGTAAGCCCAGGTTTAGCTGCCACCCCACTCTTTCCCTTGCTTTTTTGACCTCTAAGCTCCACTGTCTTGTGTGCCCATCTGCCTTGATTTATGTGACATTTGTTTGCAGGGTGCTCGGCACTGCTGAATCATTTGTATCTTGTTACAGAGCTCCCTGGTTGTTCCCATGAACACCCCTTCTGGTGTTCCTCCAGGAGTGCTGGCTTGGACCTGGGGCTTCTAGGACCCTGAGCCACTGTCTCACATGTCCTCTTCTACCCTTGCCCCACTTTGTGTCTGAACAGACACACGCCTCACCTCATGTCTCCTACTCTGGTTTCTTCATTGCAGAGATGGGGCAATGGGCCAGCACCATCCCTTCTGCTTTCATGCCCTGGAGGGGCCATAGTTTATTTGGGATCTGGGCTCTCCCCATAGATTGCTCTCCCTGGCTCCCCTTCCAGGATGAACTGGTGGCCCCAGAACATGCCAACTCAGGTGCGTGGCAGGTGGCAGGCAACCCTCTCCTCCTCTGGAGTGCTCCCTCCCTCCTTGGGGGTATTCCCACAGCCAGCCCTAGCCAGAGGGTAACTGCAGAGCTGTCCGCCAAATGGGACTTCCTCCAACCCCTTCCTGCCGCAGCTGAGTTCCAGAGGGGTCAGTTCTCCTTTTGGTTTGGAAAAGATGATGAGGGTGGAGAGTCTGGATGATGTTGGGGTATAGAAAGGCACTCTCCCACCTCTGAGTGAGGAGCTCCCCTCTACCCTGGTGAGGCAGGGTGTCTGATCTAACACATGTGCTGGATGCTTCCGAGCCTGTGATTACTGTCAAACCCGTCAGCGAAGTTGGGATCCTAAACTGCAAACAGCCCCGGCTATCTGATTAAGGAGACACTCTGGAGGCCTCTGTGCTGGCACAGCAAGAGGGTTGGCACAATTCAGTGTGTGTGTGTGTATATGTGTGTGTGTCTGTCTGCAGGCAGAAACACACCTGGGGTGCATGCAGCAGCCTTCAGGAGTGTGCATGCCAGAGGTCCACTGGTGCAGAGTGGTGCACCCTGAGTGCAGGTACGTGACCTGCCAACCCTGGAGCCTGTGTTGGCACCCACGCCCTGGGCCCACTGACATGGCATTGGTGAGCCACTCAGTGGGTGCCCCCAGGAGAGGGCAGGCCAGCTCTATGTGCATCACACATCAGGAACAAAGCTTAGTGAGCAGGCCTGTGTCTCACCCGCACAGGGATGGGTGGGCACAACTTGTCACATGTCTGCCAGGGGACAGACCACTGCAGCTCCCAGAGATGGGGCCTCTTGGCGGCTTCCTGGGCTCATTTCAGAGGGCATTGGCACCTCAGTCAGGGTAGATCTGCAATCTGAAATTGAGCAAAAGTCTCCAAATCAGGAGAAAAGCTGGGCCTCCAATTCAGCCCACTGAGGTGGTGTGAAAGTTTGCTCTGCCTCTAAAATTGTTCTCTGGGCACCTGGGCCAACACATAGTGAAGGGGGCCTTTACCTGTGCTTGTATAGAGATTCATGAGGCCCAAGGAAGGGAAATTGGCATTCTTCTTACGATGATTTATTTATAGGGCGATTGGATGATGGGGATATGGAGGCTCAGATGCCTCCATTAGTAAGAAGCACACAAGGCAGGAAGCCTTGCTCTGTATTTGACATTTAGTGGGGCGGCTCCTACCAGGGAGCTGCTTTTTCTTTTAGAAGGTTTTGCCTTTAATGTTCTATTCATGGGTTTGTCTGAGCAGGCTGGGAAAAGGAAGGAGCATGGGGTGCAGTGGGCTTCTGGGCTGAAGCCAGCCAGCCTCAGGGGAGGCAGGGCCCGAGTAGGTCACTCAGTGGGGCAGCCTGGGCAGGCCAAACGCTGGGGGGAGGTGACTCTGCTCCTGCACCAGCACGCCTGTGGCCTCTTGGGCGTGAGCTACATGCCTCATGCCTCATGCCTCCTGGTGTTTACTCTCCTGTCTGTCTCTGTCTTCACTGGCCTCTGGGCTTTGCCTCTAACAGAGGCCTTGTGTGACCTTGGCTTTGGGCCTGGCAATGGCCCTTTTTTTCTTGGGGACTGGGGTATTGCGGAAAGAACACCAAATCTGATTTCCTACTTTGGTTCCATCCCTGTGGCTGACTCACTAAGACCCTGGGCACATTTTCGCCTCTGTGGGCCTCAGTTTCCCCATCTGTAATATGACTAGACTGGTGGGTTTTCATATGTTTTCCAGCAGAACAGTTTCTTCAAATAATATCTGATGTCAGAGCTCAGAATATAAAACAGATAAGCACAGGTGGCCCTGGTCAGAGCTGGGGTAAGAGGTCTCCTCCTTTGGCCTCATGGCCACCCAGGCAGTCCCCCCAAGTTTGGAGATGAGGGAGTCTCCCTGTAGTCTCTCCAGCAATACAGGGAACACAGGAAGGCCATTGGGTGTGCTGTGTGCTATGTGCTAATGAAGGTACATTGCCCAGACCACAGGCCTGAGGTTTAAGCGCTCTCTCCTGCTGGGGGAGTGGCTTGTTTCCACCTCCCCTTTTGGGCCCCTGTGACCACATACCTCCCTGGGACAAACTGTCTGCACTCAGAGTCTCCTTGCCCTCACCTCCCTCGTACTTCTCAACCAGGCCTCTGGGTGTCTCCTCCATCACTCAACTGTCACCCTCTCACTTGCTGCTGACCCTAACCAGACACTTCCCTTGTTTCACCTGATCTTCTGGTGGCATTTGACTCTGCTGGCCATGGTTTCCCCTTGGCTCCCTGGCAGTGGCTCCTCTGGTCTTTCTTCTCCTCCTGCGGCTGGTCCTTCTCAGCCTTCCCTGCCAGCCTCACCACCTCTTGCCACCCTCAAATGCATGCCTCCCTGAGCACTTCCTGGGCCTGTCTTACTCCATGCTTGGCTTGGAGGGTTCAGCATGCCCATGGCTGTAGCACCCATATACTGACCCTGCCACAGCCCAGCTCCAGCCGAGATGTTTTTTCTGAGGCCCAGAGACACTGTCACGCTGAACCCCCCATCCTGCCCCACACAGGCCCCGCCAGGCTCTGCACATCTGAAACTGCTCAGACTTATGCAGCAAACCCACTTCCTCCCCATGTCCCCCCAGATCTGTCCCCGTCATCCTCCCAAGTACCCTCAGCTCAGGAGCTGGACCCATGGACGGCCCCCCTCAGCCCACCCCTTCCCGTTAGTCCACTGTGAAGCACCGCCGTTCTCCCTGGGTGTCCTTCACCCCTCCTCTCCTGCCTCCAGCCAGCCCAGCCCACCATCTTCTCCCTGCCCAAGGGGAGCCTCCCGCCCCTACTCTTGCCTTCTCCCATCCAGGCTTTACCTTGTGTTCAGATTCTGTAAGGCCATGGGATCCCATCCCTCCATTACCTCAAAACCCTTCAGGGAGTCCTTGCTCTTCAGACGACAGTCCAGACTCCCAGCTTGGCTGTCCAGTCCTTGCGCCTTCCCTCGCCCCACTGCAACTCCACCCTCCCCTCCCAGCCCCCCACGTTGGACTCTGAGGTCCAGGCTAATGAAGTTCTTGCAGTTCCTCCCCTGAATCGTGCTGTCTCCTCACTGAGGATTTGTACATGCCGCTTACTCCATCTAGAACACCCTCTGCTTCCTCTTGCCCTGCAGTCCTATCCTTCCGGACCCAGCTTGCATATTACTTCCTCTGGGAAATCTTCCCACACTCCTTGGACTAGGGGAGGGGTCCTGGATATTCCATAATACTCTGTATTTCCTGGTCATTGTCCTCAACCTATTTTTATTGCACTGGATGGCAAGTTCCATGGAGAGACCAGGTACCCTTTACTCCTTGCCCCTCCAGATCCGCTGTCTGCGCTTCTCCACTTGCTGTCTGTCCCTGGAGGTTGGCCTGTCCCACTCAGCAATGGGCTCCACAGACTCTCACTTCCTGGGTTTAGTCAATGGTGAGTCACTATGGGCTTTTTGTGTCCCCTGCCATCACACAAAGATTCCCCTGAGACAAGGATTCAAGTGCACATCTTTTATTTGGGAGGCATCCTGGGAAATGCCAGTAGGCAAGTGGGAAGTGAGAGAGGGAAGGGAAGAAGCCACTAACGGGTGTGTTGTCCAGCAAGCTGCCACTGTGGGCAACCAGAACTTAATCCCACTGGGTAACTTCAGGAGACAGCCTAGAAGGGGAGCCTCAATGTTAACTCCCCTGAAGGGAGGGAGCTGGGGTGTTTATTTCAGTGCTAGAGAAAGTCCTCAGGCACAGAAATGCAGGGTCTGGCAGCTAGAAGTCCAGGCCAGCTGGTGTGTGCTGAAATGGTGAAAGCCAGGATATGGGCAGGCCCTCCCTGGATCTGCTGCCCAGCTCCTGCCAGCGGGTCACCAGGTTCAGGAAGAGTTCCCTCCCCTTGCTAAGTCCTGGGGGTCGAGTGGGGGTGTAAATGAGATTATCTCTTGGGTATCCTTATTCCCTGTTCTCAGCTTTATCTTGTACTTGTGAAATTTCTCGATCGGAAAGTGATCGGTTTTTCTTACTAGGACCCTCTAAAACATCATCATACATAAAATAAAATTTAAAACATGGTGACATTGGGTAAATTGTGTTGAATCAATAACTAATGTCATATCTTTATGAGTTGATTGGATGATTGTACATGTAAGTTGGAACCCAAAAAACTTAGTACCAAAACCTACTTTTTAAGTTGTTCTGTAGCCATAAGAAAAATGAAATCACGCTAACCTAAGGCTTTAAAAGAAAGAGTCCCAGGAACCAGGAGGAAACAGATTTTTTTTTTTTTGTAGTCTCACCGTTTTCCCTGTGCAATGCCTCATTAAAAGCAGAAAGGCAGATCTCGTCAGCCCCATGTTGCAGATGAGGAAGGACCCTGAGGTCCAGAGAGGCTACATAGCTTGACTAGGGCCCAGGACTGCTGCCACCTCATGCAGCCCAGCTGTGCTCCTCTGCAGACCCAGGAAGCTAGCAGGCATGGAAGGACTGGTTGACTAGGCCACAGAGGATGTCCACCAGCAGGGCAGGAGCTGTGTTGGGAAAATAAATAGCACTCTCACTCAGAAAAGTTTAGGGTTGTACTTAGTAGCTTTTTATGGAACAAAATTTGCACTATTGATCCTGTGGCAAGTGAAAACCTTTTGTGGACACTCTGGGCTTCAGAGAGCTGAAGTGTTCAAGCGAGGCTAGACCAAATACGAGGAGATCCGATTGCCAGGCAAAGCTGAGCCCAGGCGGTGCCTGGGCTGAGGATTCTCTGCGTTATTTGTCTTTTCTCCTGTCTGTAAAAATGACTTGTCAGACTGAATTGCTTGCCCTCCTTGTGGGGAAGGCTCCCAGTTTGTTGCCCAGGCCTGTGGCTAAAATGGAATCTCTGAGCAGAGGCAGAGAGACAGGGGCAGCTCACAGGGCCACGCTCGGATAATGCACCAGCCAAGGGGGATATTTTGCCACCAAATCGCAGGGCTGCCATTGGCCCTGGGGCTGCCTAAGGCAGCAGTGGTTATCACCCTCCTGTAATTGGCCCATGCCCCTGGTTAGCTGGTATTTCTGCCGCCCATGGACAAATCTGATTGCAGGGATTCAGGGTAGCTCGTTGGAAATGGGGGATTATTGTAAGAAGATGGGTCACCTGCTCTCTGAAGCCTCCAAGACAGGAAGTAGCAGCCTCTCTGTGGTGCGCCTCTCTGGCCTCTCCCCCAACCCAGCGCAGCTGCTCCTGATTCTGTACCCATGACTTGTCACCTTGCATTAGGCCCAATGTGACCACCCAGGGCTGCTTACTCTTTAAGATGGCCTTTCACCTCCTCTCACTGCCAAGTGTCTCATGTTCTTAGTATTTCTAGCGTTATTTCTGGAAGGAAGACCCTAGTTGAGCCAGCCATGTTTTTCCATGTCAGACCATGTTACACATCAGTTACCGATGTACTGTCTGTCCATGGCTGAGCTCGATGCTTTAATCCTGTCAGCCAAGAGGGGTATGGAAGGGCTCTCTCCATTTGACAGACATTTAACAACTACTGAACATATGCTACTGTTGACTTAGCACTGAGGACAAAGCAATGAATAAACTCCAAGTTCCCCGTTTTTATGAGCTTACATTCTAGTGTAGGGAGATAGATAATGAACAACTAACTGTATTCTGTCAGGTGGGGGTAAGTACTTAGAATAAAATTACCAGAGGGTTAATTAAGGAACAGAGTGACCAGAGAGCTGTTATTTTAGAGAGACTGGCTGAGAAGTCTTTCAGATAAGGTGATGATTCACCAAAGGCCTAAGTAAAGTGAGAGAGGGCTCTCTGTGGCTATCAGAGCTGCTTCTACTTGGGAAGAGCTCTCCAGGCAGAGGGAACAGCATGTGCAAGGGCTCCGAGACAGGACTGTGCTTGGTACAATACCTGGTGGGGCTGGGGCTGTAGGCAGGGCAGGTCCTCAGAGGTATAGCCCATGTACTTTCAAGTTCCTTCAGAGAGGACCAGAGCTTGGGGTCAACCCCAAGTCCATCAGCCACTTGACCAGGGGAAGAGCCAAAGCACAAATCAAAGCAACATTGTGGATGGAGGAGAAGTGGTGGGTCTGGGGATCCCCACTGGGGTCAGACATCTGTCTTCCTGGGCTGCTGATGTGGCCCAGGCCACAGCCAGAGTACAAGGTCAGGGAACTTAGTTCTGTATGCATTCTTTCTCATCTGCTGCCTCATTTATACATGATCCTTTTCACTCCATCCACTCCAAGCAGACCTGAGCCCCTGTGCATGGTAGTTGTTTCCTAAATAGCTGAACTCTCCCTCTGGACCGCGGACTATGGAGAATGAGCGGTAGGCTGAGGATCCATCCACACTCAGGAAATTTACCATCTGACGGGAGAGAGAAGCTACACACCAGGAGAAGTGAAAGGCCAGTGTAGGGTGACAAGGAAGACAGTTTCACTGCACCAGTAGGGCCGGTGGCAGGAGGGGAGGTCCCTGCTCACCAGGCTCACCAGGGAAGGCTTCCTGGGAGGAGGGCCTGGAAGGAAAAGGCAGGTCAGAAATGCTGGAGAACAAGGGATGAGCAGGATGTGGGCTGTGATGGCTGCTCGTGGCATGGGGTGGTGGCATGTCAGCTGAAAGGCAGCGTGGCCAGAGCCCCATTGCTGCAGAGCTCAGCATACCAGGCAGGAGACGGGTTGCTTATCTCAGTAGCCACCAAATCAAAATTTTGAACTTCCCAAATAATGCAAACACGTGGCAAAAAAACATCAGAAAACCACAGTCTGACAAAAAGAAGACAGTCACTATAATCCCACAACCCACAGAGGGATGTGTGGGAAAGCTTGTCCCTCCCAGGGCATTTCATACATCCTTCTCTGTTTTCCTACTTTCAGACAAATGTGTCCCATCTGGCTCAATTAACAGTACCTCTCAAACGCCTTTCTAGGTTGATAATTCTAAACCTGTTGTAATGGCTACAAAATGCCCCGTTCTATGACTGCCAGTGTCCAGGTCGTGCACAGAGGCTGCTTCTAGCTTTTTTCTGTTAGAGACCACACCATAACCAACACCTGCAGGCATGCCTTAGCTCCTGTGCTGTGTGCACTTCTGAGCAGGGGAGGGAGGAAAATGTGAGAGGTCAAGGCCTTCACAGAAAACCAAGTGGGGAGTGGTGGAGGTCAGCGATGCCCTCTGGGTGGACAGGCTTGACACTGCCCCAAGCAGCAGCCAGCCAGACCCCGTAGCCTTTCCTTTATTGGAGAGGAGGAGGGTCGCTGTGCATGCTGGGGCTGTGAACATGGCCTAGGTCTCCTGTGAAGCAGGCTGTGGGTGAGCCAGACGGAGAAGATGTACAGAGGCATTAGTTTTCCTTGGGGTTGGGATGGCTGGTGGCACCAAAAACTCCTGAGGATGGAATCTGAGGAAGAGCATGCCCCTCACTTCTGGTATGGACCAGAAGGGGATTTGTGTGATTTTGACAGATTTGTAGGCTCTTTCAAATTTGATGCTGAAAGGGACCTTACAGTTTAGCTGAGAAAACCGAAGCCCAGAGAGCTGAGGTGGCTTGTCCAATATCACACAGCATTAGGAGTGGTCAACTGATGTGTTCCACAGAATGTCTTAGGCACGCTGGCTGGTAACATTGGTAGCATGGCCCTTATCCCAGGACCCAAGTCCCAGCTTCCCCTTCCCCTTTGCCCCAGCAGAGCCCACACTGAGGGTCTTTCTGGCTATGCTAGTGGCTCTCCTTGCTCAGTGGAGGCTGGTAGGAAGGGCTCATTCCCAGGGTCAGTGGCCAAGCCTTTTACCTCCAAGTGCATTGATTAAGCATGTGGGATCTGGCCAGGCCCAAAGTTTCAGATCTTAGGATTGACTTTATTTCTCTGAACTTGAGTTTCTCTACCTTTAAAATGGGGTTAATTAAAGTACCTGTTTTGCAGAGTATTGTCTTGTGAAGATTAAATGTGACAATGCTATAAAGTTCTTGGCACTTTACTGTGACCCAGGACCGGAGATCAGTGAATGCTATCTTCAGTATTAGTAGTAGTGGTGATAACTTCCTGCACCATCCTTCCTGCAGGCAGATGTGACTGCCCTTTGAAGTGTTGCATCTCTGTGTCCAGGGCTGAGTCAGGGAGAATGGTCAGACTAACATAGACCAGCCTTGGCCAGGGGCAGGAGTCTCAGGACCAGCAAGGATGGGTCACCTTGGGCAGAGGTGGCCACCCTGTCTGGGGAGGATGGACTGTGTCCTGTGCTCTCTGCCCTGTCTGCCCAGGGCCAGGAACAAGTCCCCATGCCTCCGGAGGGAGCAATGGAAAGCATCCCCCAGTGGTTTTCACTGGGTTAGAAAAGTGGGAAGTGGTTGAAGGCTGTCCTGGAAAAAACGTCATCCACCAAGCACTAGCCCATAGCCCTGACCTCTACTCAGCTGTCTCTTCCTTCTCTCCAAAACAGGTCTCCCTGATCAGAAAGGAGAACCCAGCCCCAGCCCAGTGCCTTGGTCTCTTGACCTGTGAGGTGGTTACTGCTTCTTGCCTAGTTCTTCTTGAACTCAGTTCTGGTCTGCCTGGGTTTTCTGGCGGCTTCTGTGTATCGAGCCAAGCAACCAGAGCAAGGCTGTGGGGCCAGACAGGAAGGAATCAGGGCCCTTCTTTGCCACTTCCCAGCTGCCTGACCTCAGGCAAATGCTTTTAATTCTTTGGGCCTCAGTTTCATCATCTGAAAAGTGGGGGCTAATGCCACCTACCTCTTGGGGTTCTGAGAATTTGTGAAAAAATGGGTATAAAGTGCCTTCTCGGCATGTAGCAAGGCCTCCATGAGACATTTCTGCTGTTTGTCCTCATCGTCCTTATCTATTATTCAGCACCACATACTGAGGCCTACTGTGTGCCAGGATCTGTGGGGACTTTGAGTACCAAAATAAACTCAGTGGCCTGCCTCCCCAGCCCTTTTCCTCACTGTAGATCCCTCTCTTCTTTATCTAGGCCCCACCTGACCCTGTTACAGGATCCACAAGGGGAGACTGGGCTGTTGCCTGCCTGTGGGGTCAGGCCTCAGGGCCCTTGCAGAATGCTTCAGCATTTTTGTACCAGGCTGAGGACTTGACCCTTTTCAGCAGGCTGATAAAATCCTGGGAGAAGGGTGTATCCAGGGAGCTGGCAGTGCCCTTGGGTGAAGCCCTCAGAAGCCTGGGGCAAGAGCTGTCACTCCTCTATGAAGGAAGCTAGAATCGATTTCCCTCTCACCACTCCCTTGGAAAGAGCAGCAACATGGGTTATGACCGAAGGTTTGTCCTGGGAGAGCAGTTGGGGGGAGAGAGAGAAACAGCTGAGGCTGCAGGCTGGTCCTGCCCTGCCCACCCCAGCCCCTCTCCTCCAGTGAGGTGAGGTGTGGGCTTCTCCCTGGGCCTGGAATGTGGAGCTCCCTGCTCTAGCCTTTCTCCTCCCCGGCACCTCCGCCCACTGGGAACTGGCCAGGGTGATTTTACTAACAAGCTAGGCACATTACATGCTCAACAGAATTAACCTAAAAAAGAGAAAGAGAGAGAGAAAGAGAAAGAAAAAGGAAAGAAAAGAAAATAGTCCTTGCATAAATGCGGCTGCAGCGGCTGCCAGGACCTAAGATCTGGTACTATCTATTTTTTAATAATTGAAGGTAATAAATATGTATTTCTTTCTCTTCACCCCCACCCCATCCCCCGCAGCTTGTCAGCTCCTTGCGTCTCTCCTCTGATCAGACCAAGTCTTCCCCAAGCAAAAAAAAAATCCTTTAAGCAAAAAGGATTAAAGCCTTGAAAAGTAGGTCTGTCTGAGCCTCTCCCATCCCCTCCCTTTCCCTTCCCCAGGTAGGCAGATAGACGTCCCTCAGGGGAGCCAGGGACAGGCTGGGTGGGGGTGCTGCTGCTCCAAGGCGTCTGTGGGTCCCTCAGGAATGGAGGCCCAGGCCACCCTCCCTCCCTTGCAGCCCATCCAGTTCCAGTCCTGGGCTAGCCTGGGGGGGGCGGTGCAGCCCTCCCCTGGCCCCTGAGGAGCTGCTAATCTGAGAAGCAGAGTCCCCCAGTCCCCCAGAGAACAGGATATAGGAAAGAGGGCTTTGGTCCCAGACAGTCCCAGCTTGGCTTTGCGACCTGTCTTTGTGTTACAGGGACCCATGTGACTTTGGAGCAAGCGACCTGAGCCTCAGTTTCTCTATCTATAAAATGGGAATATAAACTACCTATCTCACACAGGGTCAAATAAGCCAAAAAATAACTCAGTGCCTAGCACACAGTAAATATAAACAGTGAAACATTACTGTTGTTTCATTCCAGTTCTTCTCAGGCACAGAGGGCAGTCAGTAATCTCCCCCATTCCATGGCCCTCCAGAGTTCCCAAGCACCTGCTAAGCTCACCTGTTTTTCTTGCAGCATTCTCAGCACCTGGTGAAGAGAGGGCTGAACGTGAGGCTGGGTGGTGTGCTTAGGGCCCCCCAGGCTGGTGGATACAACTGGAATTCAAAGTGGGACTTGTAGCCCCTCCCCATTCCCTCTCCCAATACCCGAAATTTCCTCCATCTCATGAGGCTTCCTGACAGAGCACCCAGTATCCCCAGCCCCAGGCCCAGGAACCAGCCCAGGGCAGGCCTGGCCAGAAGGCAGTGCCTTGGGCAGTGATGGCTGCTGCCTGGCGGACCAGCCTTCCCACCCTCCCACTCCCACCCCCAGCAGCTGCCAGCCTTTGCAGTTCTGCTGAGGCAGCAGCCCTGGTCCAAGTGGGCCTCCCTCTGAGCTGGGCACATGCACACAGGCTTAGTTGCAGATGAGAGCCCCTGTGCCCCTGAGCCAATCAGGCCCAGAGTCCCTGGTCTGCTCCTGTGGCCAGTGTTTTGCCACAGGGCTCTGTCGCTGGCCCCCAGGAACAGCCCTGCCCTGGCTGCTCTGGCAGGAGTAGGGAGATAAGATGCAAGGCCTAGAGGCCGGAGGGCAGGGAAAGCAGGGAGGGAGGCTGCTATTTATAGGCCGGCTTTGCTTTTGTTCCTTTTCCAGCAATGCTACTCTTTAAATAGGAGCAGGGCTGGAGGCTGCAGCTCTTCCCCAGTAGCCTGTAGTCAGTGTGCGCACATGCGCCTCTTTGTGTGTGTGTGTGTGTGTGTGTGTGGACACACATGTATAGGGGTGGGGTGGGGTGGACACTCCCGTGCATGTGGGTGCAGGGATGGGATGAGGGGATGGTCAGCTCTGTGTGTGCACACAACATGCATGGAGAGGGACATGGGTGTTCTTTGTGTCTGGATGCCAGCATATACACATTCATGTATAGGGAGGGGTGGTGTGTGTGTGTGTGTGTGTGCATGTTTATGTGAGTGGGCACCTGTGGCAGTGGGGCAGGCCCTCCTTCGTTGATATGTGCATGTCTGTGGCATAAGTACATATATGCAGAGATAAAGTCAGCAGAACAAAAGTTGTATCTCCATGTGTAGGTTGTACTGTGACCAGCTCTTTAGGCTGATGCACCTCCATGTAATGGGGCTCTTGGAGTGTAGGTGCTAGTGGGACTGAAGGGGATGGCGCCTCTTGTCCTGTGGCTAGCCGACCGTGTGCTCGGTGAGGGCAGGGGTCCTGTCTGCCTGTTAAGTGGAAAACTGGGAATTGCGTCTTTGCCCCTGTAAAGGGACTCCAGGACCCTATCTGGCTGCCAAGGAGGGTTCGCCTGCCCTTGAGCACTTTCAGAGCACTCCCAGAGCCCCACCCTCGGGTCGCCACCAGCAGAGACCATTCTCTGTTCCCTCTCCTGCTGGGTAGGGCCCCTGGCCGGGGGCGGGGGAGCGGGTAAGGGGGGCTGGAAGTTCCCCAAGACTTGGGCGTCCCGCTGTCTCAGGCAGAAAAGTGCGGCCAGGTGAGAAGCACCTGGGCTTTGGGGATGGGCCTGGAGGCCCCATCACCCCGCATCTACCCTTCCCTGGCGTGATTTCACATCTGTAAAGTGGGAAAGTGAAGCCCTCGGGCCTGCTGTTGGGATCAGCGATGGCACCGGTGATGCAGCTCAGCAGAGCCGGGCTGGGGTCGGGTTCCCGAGGCCGCGGCGGGCCCGACGGTCGGGAAGAGCAGAGGGCGCGGGCCCGAGGCGCGCGGCCTTGGCGTCGCCCGCAGTCTCCTGCCCGGCCTTGGCCCTCGCGAGGTGGGAATCGGTTCCAGGGCGGGCAGCGGCTCCCCGCGCGGCGGCAGCGCGGCAGCCCAGATATGTCAGCGCCGCCCCGGCTCGCCAGCGAGCAGCCCCGCCCAGGGAGGGGTCGGGGCCGGGGGTGTTCTCGGCCGGCCCGCCGCGGGGAGGCTGGGGGGCACCCGGGCTAGGCCCTGTCCTCGCCCCTGAGCCCCGCCCGGTCTGGCTGGCAGCTCCAGATCGATGCTACAGCCCTCCCGCCCCGCCCCCAAAGGCCAAACAAGACATAGTAAATATTTAATCCGGGCCAGGGAGCCAAGGAGGCCTCCCTGCCCCCTCCGCAGTCGTCTGGCCCCTTTGCCAGCCCCAGCAGCTCTCCTCGGTAATGAGGCCGGGGCAGCAGGAATCGATCGCGCCCGGACAGGGTGGGGGGTTGAGGGGCTGTGCCCTCGGGTGGCATCGCGGTCCACCGCCCTGCTCTCTGCCCCAGACCCAGGAGGCCCGAGCAGACAGACCAGCACCCGCGCTTTTCCAAGAAGGCCTTCGGGGAGGGCAGGGACCCACTCCCCACTGCCTGGCCCCTGCCCACCCCATCTTAGAGGTCTTGGGTGAGCTGGTGGGTGGGGGGAGGCAGAAGAGGCAGCCCTGGGGAGACAGCAGTGAAAGTCTGAGGATAGCCCAGTACCCTCTGGTGCCTGAACTCCTGCTCCCAGGCTAGACCTGACCTCCAAGGCCTGATGGCCCAAAGCCTGCAAGAGGCCTTGGGTGAGGCCTGGGTAGGGCAGGGGCAGCCAGGGAGGCCAATAGAGAGGCTGGCAAAATACTATAGGACTCCCAGGGGATACCTAGAGGGGTGATGACACCCTTATTGTTCATTCATGCGTGCAGGAAAGATTACTGAGCACCTCCTATGTGCCAGTCATAGGCTGCCAGCAAGGAGACACAAATCTGGGCTTGCAGAGCTTACATTCCCAAGGAGGAAACAGTAAAGAAATGCAAAAGGTGAATTCAGACAGTGGTTGAATTTAGTTTAGAGAATACAGTGTAATGTGATACTGTGCATGGCTGGGGAGAGCAGCAGCGCTAGCTAGGGTGGTCAGGGAGCTGAGCTGAACCATGACAATGGGTTAGGGCAAAAGCATTCCAGGCAGTTTAGGGCAAGTGCAAAGGCCCAGAGGCAGGAAAGGGATTAGTTTCCCAAGACTAGAAAGAAGGCCTGGGAGGCTGAAGTGTCATGAGTAGGGGAGAAGTAGTGGCAGATCCCATAGGGCTTTGTAGAACACTGGAGTAGTTCAGGTCTAACTGTAGTGCGATGGCATTAGAGGTTTTAGGCAAAGGAATGGCACAATCCTATTTATATTTTTAAAAGCTTCCACTGGCTGCAGTATGGAGAATAGAAGGTGGGGAGTTAAGGGTGGAGGCAGGGAGGCCAGGCTGGGTGTGGGGGTGTACAGTGGCTTATGAGAGGGAGACTGGTTCCCTGCCTAGCCAGGGCAATGACTGTGAAGTGGCCATATAGGCTTCTACAATTGACAGGGCCTCCCGCAACTGGAGCAGCTTGCTCCTGGGCTCCGGAACTCCTGGCTCACCAAGTCCCACCCATAGGGCCTAGGCAGAGGCTAAGACTCGGGGGTGCCCCTGTCCTATCTCCCCAACAGGCTCCACAGTGGACAGCCCAGGAATTTTTTTTAGGAGCATTAGAAAATGTTGACATATTTTTTGAAACAATTTCAGATCTGATATCTCCACCAGATTGAGTTTGTAACCAGCTTTATTGTTTAAGCCTGCTGGGATTTCATCAAAGGCGTCTGCTGTTTACCCAGAACCATTTCATTGGAGAAAACAGCAAACAGACCTGCATTTCTATCTGATTTCGCTTTTCCCCTTTTCTCATGAATTTAAGTGCTTGTGAAAAGCAAGGTTGATAAGGCAAAGCAGCAAGGATCAAACCCCAAGAAGCGGGCTCAGGAGGATCTCAGCTGAGATCTATTAATAGAGCTGAGGCAGGTTAGGGGGGCTGGCCTCCCGCTCTGGGGGGCTGAGGCACTGGAGGCCAGCAGCCAGCCTCCACAGGGGGTGCCCGGGTGTGAGGGGCAGTGGGGAGGCTGCTCCCCACCCCCAGCCTGACTAGGATTTCTAGGTCGCCTCCTGGTGCCTTATTATCTTTACCAGCTTCCAGACCATTTCAGACACTGGCGACAATAAGAGATGGGCTCCTACTTAGAAAGCAGGAATGACCTAACCTTGGAGACAGGTTCAGTGAGACAGACCCGAGCTTTTCTGGGGAAAGGCTGAGTGAGGAAACAGCTCAAACTGCAATGGAAGCCAGATCATCAGAGGGTCAGGAAAGGCACCGTCCTCTGCCAAGGCTGGGGTCGCAGCCCCTTCTCCCGCCAGGCAGCCTGAGCCAGGGCGGGGCAGGGCCCAAGGACTTTTGTCACAGGCTCAGTGCTTGCTCTCCCTCCCCAGGCAATCTACACTAGTGTCACCACCACTTCCTAATTGGATCCAGTGCCTTTAAGCAGGCCTGCTGACCCAGCGAATGTTTTAGTGCAGTGGGGAAAACGCTGGCTCTCCAGCCTATCAGGAGAAGGGGCTCTGAGAAATTTGGGTTAATGTGCCTTGTTCAGTTGCTTGAACGACAGCTAGTTGAGTGCACAGGTTGCTTGGCATACAGGCCATCTTTTACCAGTTGTACATTAGACCCACTTACAAGGTCAATGGATTTGAACCAATTAGCAAGAGGATGTGGACTTGGTTATCTTTAACTGACTGAAGATCTTGCAGCAAGATCTGAGAGGGATGATACAAATACAGAAGTATTATTTTCAGCACTGAGTCCCAGGCACAACCATTGTGCTCTGCTGCCTTCCAGCAGATGGTGCTTCTGTCGACAGCAAGTCAGCCTCCCTGTTTCTGAGATGAAACCACAAGGCAAAGAAGGAGGGGAGGCCAAAGTGAGCCAGTATGTCCTCACAGAGCCAGCTCTAGGCCCTCCTGCCTGCGGAGTCCCCCTCCCCTGCTCCTTTGAGGCACACAGTGAGAGCTGAATAGGCTGCTGGGGACTCAGTGGCTTCTTCCCTCCCTATGGGCTCAGAACGAGATCCCAGGCTTCCTGGGCGAGTAGAGGAGCCAGGCGCTCCAGATCTAGGGATGGTACCCGAGGGCCTTGGGCTTATTTGCTGCTATCTGTGGAGGGCCTATGTCATCTCATTTAATCTTTATAAGCTCCCTTCTTGATTGCCACCCCCCAACCAAGTAGGTATTATTCCCTTTCCTAGATAAGGCAAGGGAGGCTTGGGGGTGAGGCAGCAGAGCCTACGTGTGCTGTCCAAGCTGTGTGAGCACAGGCCTAGCTGCTGTGGAGTCTGGGGTCTTTTCGCTTGGCCATACTGCCTGCAGCATTCTAGTTAGGGGGTGGGGGCTTTTCCTAGTTGCGGATTTGGGAGGAATAAGCTCTCAAGCTGGCAGGGAGAGTGTGGAGTGGGCCCGTTGGCATTTCCTGTCCT